ATCTCGTGGAATCAATCAAGTCCTGGTCAGTCATTGTTACCTGACCAATTTATATCACACAGTGCCATTGTTACCACTGTTTCAAGTCACATCATACAATGTCATTGTTACCACTGTTTCAAATCACTGCTACGGCGCGCAGCCCGATACATGCTCAGTCCAGAAATCATAATAAGCCCCTTGGGCATTTGTAAAACAGTAGTTCTCAACCCGNACAAGCCATCTCGTGGAATCAATCAAGTCCTGGTCAGTCATTGTTACCTGACCAATTTATATCACACAGTGCCATTGTTACCACTGTTTCAAGTCACATCATACAATGTCATTGTTACCACTGTTTCAAATCACTGCTACGGCGCGCAGCCCGATACATGCTCAGTCCAGAAATCATAATAAGCCCCTTGGGCATTTGTAAAACAGTAGTTCTCAACCCGAAATATCATTTAGAAATATCATTTAAGTTTTCAAATCTTAGAAAGATGGCTGAGTTTGCAAAACAGTATTTAAAACCTTGGAATTAGATCAAATGATATGCATGTATGCGAAAACAGTGATGTCAATCCCTGAAGGATTCAAATAATTGGCAAGAAGCCCAAACGTAACAATTAAATCCAAGTAGAAAACACGGTAAAAATATCTCTCGGGACAGACTATGTCACAATCCCCAATGATGCTCTACCCCACGCCCATTATCCGGCGTGCAAGTCACCTCAATATAGCGTTAACATGTGAAATTCCGGGGTTTCAAACCCTCAGGACATCATTTACATCAATTACTCACTTCAAATCAGCTACTTCTTTAGCTCGCGACGCCTTTGCCCCTCGAATTGGCCTCCACGTGCGTCGAATCTGCCCAAAATCACAATTAATATGTTGCATTATGCTAAAGGGACAATACCCAATCGAAAGCAATCGAAAAATATCAAAATTCACGAATTTGACAAAACTCGAGTCCCGGGCCCACGTCTCAAAACTCAGAATTTTTTATACCAAGATGTTCTTCGTCCTCTCACGAGTCCGTAAAAATCGGAGCTCGTTTGACCCTTCAAATCGACCCTAGAAAATCTCAAAAGCACAAGCCCTAAAACCCCACTTTTCTACTGCTTTTCATGTTCTAATTCACATATAATCTTGTATTTAACTTGGAAATAAGTAGAAACAACTCACCTTTGTTGCTTGATAAAATCCCCCTTGAAATTCTCTCCAAAATCATCCAAGCCAAATGAAAGAAATGAAAGAAATAAGCCAAATCCGTGTTTAAAGAATCTGCCTGTGCTTCGTTGAGTTGTACCTTGCACTTGTGCTATACAAGTTGTAAATCCTATTAAAATTTTCCCTTGTCGGACACCTTCTGTTTAAACAACCATAACGTCTTTTATAAATATCCAAATTAAAAACGGTTTGAATATTTAGAAACTAGACTCGAAGATCTTTAATTTGATAGGTTGTACACCATATAACTCTTTATATATCCTGAGATATGAGCTTCTAAAGTTGGATCCATGAAATCCGAAAATTCTGGAGAAACTACTCCACCAGTCATATTCAGTCGATAATAACTTTCTCTACAGATGTCCAAATTACGATTTCCTTAGCTTTATGGAAACTAGACACGAAGGGCTAAAATTTTCGTTTTTGAATCATCTCAAAATTCCTTGTAGATCAAACGATATAGGCCTCCGAAGTACGCTCCATGACTGCACATTTGCTGTCCAAAGATAGCTTAGCAGCAGAAATTGCAGAAGTTTTTTCTTTTCTTTTTGGGTCCGAATTCCATTCCGTTAACCTTCCGAAATTCACCCGAGTACCTCGGGACCTTAACCAATTATATCAACATATCCCACAATATCATTCAAACTTGTACCAACCTTCGGAACACCCAAAATAACATCAAAACATCAAATCATCATCGGATTCAAGCCTATGAATCTCAAGAACTTCCAAATTCCATTTTTGATCAAAAACTCAACCAAACCACGTCCGAATGACCTCAAATTTTGCAGAAAAGTCCAAAATGACATAACGAAGCTACAACAACTCTCGGAATTCCATTCCGATCCTCAGATCAAAATCTCACCTATCAATCGGGATTCGCCAAAATACTAACTTTGCCAATTCAAGCTTAATTCTACACCGGTCATCACAAAAATAT